CGTTTTTTTACGCCTTGACCGACCCCGCCGAGGCGGAAACGCCGGTCTCCACCCGCCGCCTGCCCCTCTCAGCCATCGAATTCAACGGACTGCTTTTTTCAACTAATGAGGGAAGCTGCGCGGGGCTGCTCACCACTCACGATATCGTGACCGAACGCGAGATTCGTCTCCGCGGGCTCGTGCGGGACTTTGTGGAGTCCCCGCTTTATTGGCAACTCAAATCACGGACTGCGATAACCGATGGGGTGCGGAACATTAGAAAGCGGATGCACTTCATGGCCTCCCGTCGTCCTCTCGGGACAGAGTCTGGGAAGAACCGACAAATCCTCCTCGCTATGGCCAAGGAGATGGATATATTTATTTACGAAAAGGGCGACAACGATGTCTTTAAGTTCTGTGTGTGAGTCGATCCACCTTTCTACTGTGTGAGATCTCGAGAGAGAGAAAGAGAGAGGTATCGAAGGAAAATAAATGAACAGGGGAATCAAAAAGACGGAGTGCGGTTGAGGTAATTTTGCTATGTGTGTCAGCTGAACCTGGGTGTCTGGAAGGGTAAGATAGATCTTACCAAACGTGGAGTATTTTTTTACATTGATATTCCCATATTTAGTATTTGCTATTATAGATGATGGTAAACGACTGAAAAGTTGGCTATTTTCTTTAAGTGTCCTCCACTTCCTCTCTAAAACACAACAGACAGAGATAAAAAAGCTAACAGTAATAAATGTCTTTATTTCTTTTTCGATTTCGGATCGTTAGTCTAATTATATTATACCCTTTCTTCACCCCCTCATATTCACTTTTTTTCCATCCATCTCCTTCTTTCTTTCTAAATATAAACTAAATTACCTTTTTATCCTTTTGAAAAGGGGGGAGGGGAACCAATGAACGATACGGAGGATATTTCCAATCAAAACAGCTGGGAGTGCTGTTTAGAGGTTTCTCTTTCTTCATCCTGGCTGCGTGAGCCTCTTCATCAGACTTTGCGCTATGCCTATCCTTTGCCGATTCAGCGGATCGTCATCCCGCTTATTTCCCGCGCGTTATTGAGCGGGGTCCCGATGGATGTCAGCCTGACAGCTCCAACAGGAAGTGGAAAGACGCTTTGTTATCTTTTGCCGATGCTCCAGCTTATTTCCGAAGAAAAAAGGAGAAATACAGACAATGTGCAGCTTCGTGGGATTATTCTGGTCCCGACGAGGGCGCTCGGCCAACAGGTCTTTCGTGAGATTGTGCGCCTCACACGACATACCACGATACACGTTGCCACTTTATGCGGTGGAAACGACGAAAATGAAAGTGGAGGAGTGGAGAAGGAGATGCTCGCGCGATGTGTTCGGAAAGACGAGCACTATTATGTTGGTGATAATAATAATGATGATGATTCTTGTTGCTTTGATGGGGAGAAGACTCTCACTAACACCTTCGTCACGCCGTCTTCAGGGGGAGAAAGGGAAGGTGTTGGGAAGCGTGACCGTTGCTCTGAACTATTTTATGATAGTTTTTCACTTGTGGATATTCTAGTTTCGACTCCACAGCGGCTGCTTTATCATCTTGACGCGACGTCAGGGCTTTCCTTGGCTTCACTTCGCCTTCTCGTTGTGGACGAGGCTGATCAAGTGTTGGAAGGGAGCTTTGCGAATCTTGTCGTGAAGGTGGTTGAGCGTTTTGAGGAGGAGGTCCATGCTCGGGCGGTTCAAGAGGAGGAAGAAAACAATCGATCTCGTTTAGCTCTCCCTGTCGACCCCGCGAAAGGGGGGGATGCGTTCTTGAAGTATCTTTCCTTTTCCGCACATCATATTCTGCGTAAAACGGATTTCTCGCCGACCTTGCATAAGGTGCTGTGCTCAGCAACCCTATCCCCCCGCATCGCGCGCATCTCCCAGGTGCATCTTCGCAATTGCCAATACTTCATCCTCAACACGCACGGCGAGGATCTGGGTCACAGTGGGGCGGTCCCCGCCTCGGCGCCCCCGGCGCTCGCGTCCTCCGCGTCGTCAGTGCGGGCGGTTTTTGCCCTCCCCCCCGCCCTGCAGACCCACGTCGTCTTTGTCGAGGAGGCCTACCGCCATGCCGTCTTGCTGAAGCTCATCACCGCCTTGGTCAGCCGTCTGGAGGCGCGACAGCGGCGTCGGGAGGCCGGCTTCGACCCCCCCGAAGCCCCCACCGCCGAAGGGACAACAGAAGAAACGGAGGGAGAGGAGGGGGGGGGTACCCCGTGCTGTCACAACGCGCCGGGAGTGGGATTTTGGTCTTCTGCAGCTCCCCCGAGGAGGCGCGGGTGATGGGGCATTTCCTCACCTTGGCCGGGGTCCGGGGGGTTTTGGAATTCACCACGCTCGCGACGGAGGCGGAGCGACGCCGTGCGGTGTGGGACTCCTCCTCCGCTTCGTCGCTGTCTGCCTCATCGCCGTTTTGCGTGGTGGCTTCGGATGCGTTGATGCGGGGGGTGGATATGCCGAATGTCGGTCATGTGATCATGTACCACCCACCTGATACGCTCTCGCAGTATGTCCATCGCGCAGGGCGGACGGCGAGGGCCATGCGGCCAGGCCATCTTCACCTTTTGCTGAATAAAATCGGTGAAAGCGGGACCCTCGCAGACGGCGAGGTCGCCCACTTTAAAAATCTCAGCGAAGCCTGCTTGCATACCCTTCCTACCCGCTACGAGCGAGGTTTTTTTATGTTCGCGGAGCCCCCCATGCCAAGCACACGTGGAAGGGGCGTTGCGGGGCAAGAGGAGAACTTCCCGGCGGAAAAACGGCATCGCCGTGAAGGGGAAGAACCCTCCTCATCCACAACGATACCAAAGATAGGAACAGTGGATCTGGAAGGTGACGCGAGTGCACCCACCGAAGGCGATAGCGAACCAAAGGAAGAAGCGGATCGTGATAATAATAACGGTGAGCGCGCTGGCATTACAGAAGTGAAGGAGGTAGAGGAAAATGGGGAGGAGGAATTAAGTAAAAAGCCGAGGAGCGCGGAGTGGTGGGTCGATCAGGCAAATCATTACCTTCAGATCTCCCAACAGCAGCTTCAGCAGCGGTGGTCGTCGGCGCTGGATTTTGCAGAAAAGGCACAACGAGCGGTGGCAATAAAGGCTAAAGAAAATGAAAAAATACCCTCTTCTACTGGTATTACTTCATCGGGTGAAAATAAAACTTTGCCTGTATGCAGTGTGAAGAAAAAGAATGATAAAGCACATCTTATTAAAGGAGGAGGTCATCGACCGGGTTTAAATAACCATGAAAAGTGCGGAAATGGATTTAAAGGGAAGTCTTTTCCACAGCGCACTAGGCACTAACATTGCTAATAAGCGAAGAAAGTAAAAAAGGTTCTGATAATAATAATAATACACGAGTAAAGTTGCGAAGTGCTGATTTTCGATCAATACAAAGTTTTTCCTTTTTTTTTGAGATTCATCTGATCTTTTTTATAAGAGTTAACGTTCTATTACCACTTGCACGCACATATCGCAAAAACTACTTAATTCTAATAGGTAGTTCATGGAGAGTTCATGAAGAAATGAAGAAAATGAAGAGCACTCATCTAATTTAAAACTAATCAGATACTTAGCTTTGAAAAATTCTAAAAAATAATATTAAGCAGAGTTTGATATGCTTTCATTTAAAACAGCCATACAATTTTATCACCATTTTTTTTTTTGTAGACGCGTTCTCTTTTCTGAGGTCTAGTCAGTAAATCTAAGGAAGTGGAAGGGAAGAAAAGGATAGAATACTTTGCTCGAGCTTTTCAAAAACCCATCCGGATTTCCTTGGTATTGTTATTTTTTAATCAAAAAATAACAGTTTGCTAATATAAAAGGGAAAAATCTACGGTAGAGAACATAAGACCATAATCAATATACGGATATATTTATATCTGCCCCTAGTAAAAGAGTAGAATAGAACTCACAGACGGGATAAAACAACAGCAACTAATATTCAGGTGTGACTTTATTTTTCCCTTGTAAATGGGAGGCAAACGTAAGAAAACTAACAGGGCGCCTATCAAAAAGGAAAGTCGTTATAAAATTCCCGCACGTTTTGACTGTCCTTTATGTGATGTCAAGAGTTCTATTGTTGTAAAAATATCGCGGTCAACGGGTATAGCTACCGTTCACTGTCGCTCCTGTCAGGTTGGGAAAGAAAGGAAATGGCCAATTTTACCTCGTGAAAAGGGCGTTGACGTATTTTTTCGTTTTCGAGAGGAATTATTAGAGTTAGATCGTCAATACTTGAACAATCATCCCCTTGAAGTGAATAGCGGAAAAGGGGATTTTACTGCCAAAATCACAAATCTCGCGGAGTTAAGTCGTCAAGAACAGCGTCGAGTAACCTTAGAAATGTCCAATGGTAATACTTTAGGAGGATCGAAAAATGGATCAACAGAGCTCAGAAAACGTCATCGTCCAACGTCGTATGAAGATTCAAGAGAAAATAATAATAATGAGGATGATATGATGAATTTTTTTATACCGCCTCATATTGATGATGACGATAACGAGGATCATGATTCCATAGATGAGGAGGAACAGTACGCTGCGATGTTTCAATAGGCGTATTCTCACATACGCCTATTATCACTATGCGATTGATAATTGTAGATTGGGGTGTCGATTGTCACCAAAGATCCATAAGCTGAGGGTTGGAAGGAAGAACGTATCGTTTTTTTCCCACATATGCGAGTGGAAATGGATGATAGAGTAGTTATAAAAGCATAATACTAGGTGCGTTTTTTTTTTAAACTGAGATACCCATGCATCAATACCTATATATAAATATATATAGGTATGTAGGCGTGGACAATTCTCACTTGGCAACCTGTATGTTTTATTACAACTCTCTCTGTTACTGATGCACTCCGTTAATGCCTTTTCTTTCTCACTCCCCCCCCTCATAGCGTGACATATCAGTGTCCTTATACCATCTTTGATACTTTAGACTAGGGCTCACAGAACAACCTGCACTCCCCTCCCCCCTCCCCCTCCCTCTCATAAACACACAGAAAATCGGTCTTCTCGTGTGTGACACTACCGCAGAACAGGAAGGAGCGTACAAGAGAAGACGAAAGGAAGGGATGCCTGAGGGGGGTCGTGCCGCAGGCCCTGGGGGAAAGGGGCGGCAGAAGGCAAAAGCGGCCCGGGCCCATGGCTACGATGCGCGGAACTACCACCTCAACGCGCACAGCCGCACGATTCAGTCCCTCGTCCGGTTTGACTGCCCGGTCTGCGCGACGAGGAATACGGTGGGGGTCGAACTCGACGCGCGGCGGCGGGAGGCGGTGGTGCGATGCGGCCACTGCATGGCCCTTCGGCCGCGGCCGGCGGAGCTGCCCTTTCCCTTTGTGACCACTTTCGTACCCAATTTGGAGAACAAGGCGGATGCCTTCTTCCGCTTTAGCGAGGCCTACCATAAGCTGCTTCAGGAGGGGTTGACGGCGGATACTACTGGCGTACGCTCTTCGAATACCACTACTAATAAGGTGGTTTTAGCTGATACGAGCGTTAAGAAAGACAGCATCAATGGTGGAAATGTTGGAGGGAGCGATGGTAGTCTTGGTGGACTTTTCGACGGCCTTGAGGGAATTTTAGCAGGAAATCCTTCTCAAAGTAGTGTAATCACGCAAAACGCGGAATTGACGAGCACGAACAAACACTATGAAGTAAGTGACAAGGAGGAGGATTTTTCGAATAATTTGGCTGTCAATAATAGTGAGGAGGAGGAAGAGGAGCTTGTAGGCGATGTGGATGCATTCTTTGATGATTAAGGATTTTTTCATAACATCAAGCACAGTCGTAAATTTGGTTCGTATTGGTCTTTATGAATAGCTTATAGCTTCATCCCTCATTTTTCCTATCTTAGATATAACTCTAAAAAAAAAATGCGTCCGTATGTGTGATGCGGTATTATTGATGCTTCTTACAATGAATTTTAGCGCACCAGATTTTTTTCTTCAATATTTTTACCTTATTACATCTCTGAGTTTAGATTTTTTCATTTTTTTTCTATCGACTTAACAAAAAGGGAAGCTTCATTGATCTTTCCATGCAGATTCGAAAACGTAATGAATGTCAGAGTACAAATTTACCTTCCGTCATTCTTTATTCCGTATTTTTTATCCTCTTCACCATGTGGCTCGCACCTCATCAAGATTTTCTTTAATCCACGATCAAGTCTTCACGGCTTCTGCCGTTAGTCGTCGATCTTTTTTCACTTATACGCCACGTCGATTGGCTCTAGAGCGTGTCGAGGTCGCTCATTCAAGTTATTATAGAAGATCCCCCACCGCCATTCATTCAAAGGCCTCTTCAATTGGAAGCGGGAAACAGGGAGGAAATGGTAATTATGGAGAGGATTTAACGGAAAAGTCCGTGTTTCGAAGTTTCGGAGGGGGGAACTCTTTATATAGCCACCTTTCTAATCCTCCCATCTCACGGACTAGTTTATTGCAGCCTATGCGAACGTTATCTCATGCCGATGCGGAGTATTTCTTCTTCCGCGATGATAGCGATAATGATAACAATAATGAAAAGGGTAATTATCACAGCTCATCGACGCGTTTCACCGGTGGGAACCATTTGCCGTCATCATCTTCTACACCTTTTTGTCTACTTTGCCGAGAGTATGTCGAGCAACCTTTTAATAAACGATCTCATATTATTAATAGCAGTCGTGCATCGCATACAAATCATACCTGTCGGGAAATTCCCTTAGATTCTTTGACTCTTCTCGCAATACGAGGCTACCCCATTGACTCTATCTATGAAGTATGGTCAGATGCGCTTTATCAGCATGAGGCATTTTTTCGAATTAAATCGCTTGTTTCTCCTCTTTGGAGCATCGAACGCCGTGCGGAGAATCTTTTACACCATCTTGTGTATTTAAAGAATCATGGGGTGATTGATTTAAGCCTTGCAGGGGTTTCTCCAGAAACCAGCACTAACGACGAGGCTTTATTTTACACCCGCCGTCGTATCGCATTTGAGCGTTTGGAGTACATCGGGGATAATGCCTGGGGATCACACATCTCAAGCCGTATGATGATTCTTTTTCCCGATCAGCAATGGCAGTATAGTGAACGCTCGGCAGCATTTAATTATTTTCGTGATGCGTGCGAGATGAATTTAATGTTGGAGGAGATGTTTGACGTTCTTCTCCTCGGGCGAATACATCCATGTTATGCCGGCGCTAGAATCGGATCCGGAAAGCTCAAAGCCGATATTCTCGAATCTCTCATAGGGGAGCTCCACGTCAATGTGTGGGGGTTGGAGCCCCAGATCTATGATGATACCCCTTTTGTGGAAGTTAACAACCTGCAAGAGGGTCGTTTTGTCGCGCTTGTAAACCACTGCTTAACGGAGATTTATGATTTGATTATTCTTCATTATTCGCGGAGTTTGAGCTGGAATGCGCTTCCACTCGCAAAGGAGTTAGCAGTACGGCATATTTGGAAGCGCACAATACCGAGCTTGCAAAGGCATAAAATGGCTGCGCGGAGTGAAACTACGCGAGCGGTAGTGAAATGCATTGATTTTTCATCCCCCGTTTTTACTACTACTACTAGTAATGGGAATGATAATTCAACAGCCTCAAAAGATAGCGAAGGCTCTTCGAAAGGGGTTTGTGTAGTCCCTTCTGCGCAAGTTATGTCGCGAATAAATTTGAAGTCAATGAAAAATTTATCTCTTCCCGCTCTTCCTGCTCTTTTTGATTCTCCACGATGCTATCCTCGTGTGGTCAAACACCCTCTTCGCGAGATCCCGCTGGAGGAGCTCCCGCAGTTCACAGTCATTGAGCACACTCAACAGGATGTCTTTGCGTATTTACATCGAAGTTTTGAACGATTGGGCTTTCTGAATGAAGATGCTTATCAGATATTTAATCGAGTACCGAGTGTGAAGTGGGAGAAGTATATTAGACATGTCGTACCTCATATCACAACGACGACGGCGACCTGTTTCCAGGCCCCTTTGAGAGGGAAAAACGAGGAGCACTTCTCCACTTCCCCAGAGGATCCCTCCTTTAGTGTATCTCCTAATGATGCCGAACCACCGATGATTAATGAAAATCTCGGGATGAAAAGTTCAAGTTCGATGGATTCTTCCGTCTTTCATACAGCGCCCATCATCTCTTCTGAGGGGTTTTCTGATGTTTATTTTCGAGATCCCTACTACAACCTCTTTTCTTCTTCTCGTAAGGTTGCCGAAGCGCACGCCTCCCATTCCCTCCAGCCTTTTCGACATCATGGCTCAATGCGTCTTCCCCTCGTAGCGATTGTGAAATGGACCGATATACACGCCATAACAAAAGACGATCAAACCCAGCACGAAAAGGAAAATGTCAATATTAAAAAAGAAGACATAATGCTTAGTATGACACTAAGCAATGCGTATCCTTCTTTAATGTCGCCTTCTTTGATTGGTAGCGAAAATGGAAACTTCTCGAATTTATCAGGAGGGCACTTAGTATCATCGCAGCACATCTCCGGGACAAAACCGTGTTTATTCTGTTTATCGAAATACGTTCCGAAAGGGATAAAAACTCCAATTGGAGGTGTTGTTATGGATAAAAACCTTTATTTGGGTCAATACGCTTTTCTTGCATACGGGAAATCGAACCCGATGTATCCAGAAAATGAGCTTGATGCTAGTCAAAAAAAATATTCTATAGAATCAGACGACAAGGAGTCACCAGACGTGGAACATACGGAATTGGATACCTCAAAAAATCTGAATGACTCAATGGAAAACAGCTTATCGGAACGTCATAATAGTAGTCTTCTTGATGATGCTAAACTGAAGCAAAGCAGCGATGAAAGCTGCAAAGGCAATGGTAATGAAAATAGCAATAACAATGATAGTAGCAAAGAGTTCAGCGCTGTCGAATCGGCCAGAATATATTGGTTTAAATGGGCAAAATTACAACGTCAAACAAAAAACTCTTTCTTTTAATTAATTTGTAAAGAAGAGTGTTGGGAAAGAAAGATGATGGAATGAAGGCTTGAGTAGAAGAAATGAGCTTAACGTGTTTTACTTTAACTATTTGGGACTTTTCTTTTTATACTTATGAGTGTAGGGGCATAGTGGATGAGTTGCGACGATGACTGCCAAAAAGCAATCGAAGAAAACACTAAAAAAGAAAGGGGTATGATTTTGAAGAGGGGGGTAAATTTAAATTGCTTTCCTTTTTTCTATTCTATTTAACCTATATTAATCCAAACACACACACACACATATATATATATATATATATCTATTTATTTATAGTTTCAGAAATCTCTGAGTATTGTAAGGCATTACTTAAATTGGCAGGTTCTCCTCCTCCCTTGAAATGCCTAAACATACCAGAGCAAAAAATGTCTCATCCTTAAGAATTTCAACAGGGCCGAATTCAAGCGGATTTGGGAGTAAAGCCGAGTCTATTCTGGAATTAGATCCTAGTATAATATACTTTACCTTTTCTAGAATTCGGCCCACCTTTTCCTGTGGGCGAAGCATTCAAAGCACGCTTAAACTATTTCAGTTGAAGAAGATGCACCCAAAGGACCTTCCTTTGATTTCTGTCTTTACCGACGGTACTCATTACTACAGCCAAAATAATAGAAGATTGTTTATGTATAAAAAGCTTAAGGAAATGGCAATCCTTAATGAAATTCCCGTTCGTGTTCGTGCGCTTCCTTCTACTAAGCGTATGTCAAACAAATACAGCCCTACGAAATGTTCATTAACTGCCACTCTTATGCGTGAAAAAAATACCACAACCGGTGCAGATTCAAACTCCGAGGAGGAGAAGGGAGAGGAGAACGATAAAAATGATTCCCTTTACGGTAAGGATTCCTTGGATTTATCATTGAGCTCTTTAACTATTTCAGCGAATAAGAAAATAGCTTGAATGCATAAAAAGGAGGAAACTCCTCATATTCAAGATTTTAATATTAAAAATGGTAATTCTAGTTCAATAGCTGAAAAGCAAGAAAAGGTAACGATACTTGCTGATCAGGATATTCGAAGAAACACGGGTAAAAAAGAAAAACATCATACAAATCTAAACGAAACTATCAACAATAGTGATCGTGCAATTCCCCGACAGATAATTCAAGGGAACTTCCGATGAGTCAAATGGAGGGTGTACCGACCTACTTATCTCATCCTCAGTGCTGCTGCTCATTATTACTGTCCATCCAAGCCATGTCTATCTGCTAAAGCGTAGTTCACCTTATCTATATTGATATCTTTATATTCCTATATCCCTGTATTCTTATATTCCTATATTTATGGATTCCCATATTCTTATTCTTATCTTTATTTTCTTATTTTATATTTTTGCATTTTATTCTTTTAGATTCCACTTTTCCTTTCATCGGCGTCACAGGCGGGTTTCCCACGGAAGGCCCCTTCCCGCAATGACACGTTTCGGCAGCCCGCGCAGGGCCGCCCGCCCCCCCCTCGTCCAGGCGGGCGGGGACTCCCCCGATCGCGACTTCGAGGACCCCGAGGGCCCGTCAGGGGGGGTGGTGGAGGACTACAACTGGGAATATTCCCCCGAGGAGGAGGGGGAGGCCGACGAAACTCCCCCGCCCCCCCCTGACGACGAGGACGACGGG